TAGTTTGTTGTTTTCTTCCTGCGGAGAAGGGGCCGGGGTGGACCCCGAACCGCCCGGCCTCTCCTCTCTCCTGCCCTTCTCGCCCGGTCCGGATCCGCAACGCCCTGCCCTGCTCGTTCCGGTCCCACCTTTCCCTGGGCTCTGGACCGGGGCCGGCTGCCCACCAGCTGGCTTGGTGGGGAGAGGGTGAAGGCCAGCCCGGCGAGCACCATGGCGTCCGCTCTGGGAGCCGGCGGGGGAGCCGGGGCTGGAGGTACGTGAAGACACCCTGCGGGGAGGAGGATGGTTCGGGACTGCGAGGGGCGAGCGCGAGGGACCTCAGCGACCCGAGGCAGTGGGCCTTCCCCGGCTCGGCCTCTTTGTGTCTGGCCCGTTCAGTGTGTGGCTCCCACCTGTCCTTCCCATTGTCATTCTCCCGGGTGCCGCTTCTCCTCCCGTGCGGGCAGCAGATCGCAGCTTTCCTCGGACTTCTACGGGTTCTCTGACTTTGGGGTCTGCAGAACGTGTGAGGGCCTTTGTAAGTGTTGACGGGGATTTGGGGCACGATTGGCTTTGCGAGCTGGGGAGAGGAGAGCGCCCCCGCGCCGATCGTGTCGCTTAACGTAGTGGATGGGGCGAAGGGTCGTTGGGCCCGTCTGACAATTTTAGACGCATTTCAAGTCCATTACAAAAGGAACAAAAACATTCACGCGCGTAAAAGAATGTATTACGTTTGGAAAGTTTTAAAAACAATGGAAGCAGTTCGTGTATTCTTACAATAGCTCATTTATTGTGTAATAAAAAAAGAAAATCTGTTCAGTGTTTCGTTGTCAGCATCTCCCACAGGTGAGAAATGAGACAAAAAGGTGTAGCTGTTTAGTCAGTTCCTTTGGGTTGTGCAAACTTGAGTGATTTAGTTAGTGGCTATTGTACATTTTCGGTAAACCACTTGGTTCTGGTAAGGTAGCTTACAAATATATAGGAAAAGAAATGATATCCGGAACTACCATGCATATTTCAAGAACATGAAAAGGAGACCCTTTGCTGGTAAAGTATTCACAAGCAAAGAATTTGAGGAGATCAGACCTCATTATTGAAGCATTGAAAAATTAACGTATGTACCAGAGGTATTCATTAGTTGTGCTTACATGTAGGTACACAGCAATAATCCTACTTGGGAATTTTGGCCCTAATAGCAAAACGCTTCTATGGTTAAAAGGAAAATCAAACTGCAGAGACAAATGGAAAAATGTCACTTCTGTCAACGTAATTTACTGCATGCCACTTTTCTGTCCTTTCAGTCTAAGTAGATGATTTCCTGTGGGTTAGGTTTGAGGCCTTCTAGTTAAAATGAGAAGCTCAGGGTGTATTTTGCTTACTTGTTTTGTGTGTGTGTGTGTGTGT